AATACCCATCTGTTAGCTTAGCACTATGATCCTTTAGTTTATTGCTATTCTTTCTTCATGACTTATACCTGTTCCTATGACTATGAGATTATGCAACTCCCGAATATCAAAGGAACACTTAGTGTGCTATCAAACGTCACAACATAACTGGGTGATTATAAAGATGCTCTACAGGTATCTCCGATGGTGTTTGTTGAGTTGGCATAGATCGAGATTAGGATTTGTCACTCCGATTGTCGGAGAGGTATCTCTGGGCCCTCTCGGTAATGCACATCACTATGAGCCTTGCAAGCAATGTGACTAATAAGTTAGTCACGGGATGATGCATTACAGAACTAGTAAAGAGACTTGCCGGTGACGAGATTGAACTAGGTATGATGATACCGACGATCGAATCTTGGGCAAGTAACATAACGATGACAAAGGGAACAACGTATGTTGTTATGCAGTTTGACCGATAAAGATCTTTGTAGAATATGTAGGAACCAATATGGGCATCCAGGTTCCGCTATTGGTTATTGACCGGAGATGTGTCTCGGTCATGTCTACATAGTTCTCGAACCCGTAGGGTCCGCACGCTTAACGTTTGATGACGATTTGTATTATGAGTTATGTGATTTGATGACCGAAATTTGTTCGGAGTCCCGGATGAGATCACGGACATGACGAGGAGTCTCGAAATGGTCGAGAGATAAAGATTCATATATTGGAAGGCTATATTCGGACATCGGAAAAGTTCCGAGTGATTCGGATATTTTCGGAGAATTGGGGAGTTACCGGAATTCACCGGGGAAAGTATTGGGCCTTATTAGGCTTTAGTGGAAAGGAGAGAAGGGCCACAAGGGGAGGCAGCGCACCCCCCATGGGCTGGTCCGAATTGGACTAGGAGGGGGCGGCGCCCCCCTCTTTCCTTCTCCCTCTCCCTCTCCTTCCTTCTTCTCCTACTTGGACTAGGACAGGGGGAAACCTACTCCTACTAGGAGTAGGAATCCCCCCTTTGGGCTCGCCCCTTGAGGCCGGCCCTCCTTCTCCTCCCCTCCTTTATATACGGGGGAGGGGGCACCCCATAGACACACAAGTTGATCTTTAGCCATGTGCGGTGCCCCCCTTCACAGTTTTACACATCGGTCATATTGTCGTAGTGCTTAGGCGAAGCCCTGCGTCGGTAACTTCATCATTACCGTCAACACGCCGTAGTGCTGACGAAACTCACCCTCGGCCTCAGCTGGATCAAGAGTACGACGGACGTCACCGAGCTGAACGTGTGCAGATCGCGGAGGTGTCGTGCGTTCGGTACTTGATCGGTTGGATCGCGAAGACGTTCGACTACATCAACCGCGTTACTTAACGCTTCCGCTTTCGGTCTACGAGGGTACATGGACTCACTCTTTCCGCCCGTTGCTATGCTTCTCCTAGATAAATCTTGCGTGATCGTAAGCAAATTTTTGAAATACTGCGTTCCCCAACAATAGTACTACATTCAACAGCATTTGTAAGAATACCATGGATATGGTTGGTTTAAGCCAAAGTTTACCCTATCAAATATTCCCTCCGTTTGGAATTACTTGTCGTGGAACTGGATGTATCTAAAACTATTAGATACATCCATTTCCGCGGCAAGTAATTCCGGACGAAGTGAGTATTCGTCTAACCATTTGGTTGCCCATAATTTGACCTACATTTTTTTTGACTGAAAATGTTGACATCGGCCCGAAAATAAATCTGGAACCGTCTAAACAAGGACAACAAATTTGTCTATTGAATCTAAACCAAACATAACAAGCCCTATCCACCTCTCTAGTCGCTCCCCCTGACCGACCCCTTCAGGTACCTCTCTTACCCCTTTCTCCTATCTCAACGTCGCTGGAACAACCTTTGGGCGAAGCATGCACTGTCCGCGTGGGTTCTTTTCGAGGGGACACTTGTCTCACTGATGTTTTTGTCCTGGGGCCATGTTCAATGTCAAATTGTCCCAATTTCCTTGTCTTATGTCTAATATTTTTTGCAGAACTTTTTTTTGCTGTGACGTACAACTTTGAAACCGCCCTTGAAAGATTTACTAATTCATTATTTTACTAATATCATATACCCAATTTATTTTTGTGAGAATATAGTGTGTTTATCTATTTTTAGTGGATCACGTATGACATTCCTATTCGATTTATTGGTCCTCTTTTGTTGGGAATTATATGTTTGTTCGTTGGACACACACACAACGCAAGATGTGATCAATCTACTAATCTAGCATGGTGCTTGTGGTGCACGTACTAGTGTTTGTTAACGACATGTCAAGTTTCAGGATTGATCCCGCAAAACAAAAACAAAAACTCAAATGCTAAAGAACTTGTGTGCACTTTCACTTTTTCGACACACGCACCGACATCACATCTTCTCACGGAGGATGAGGAGCAAAATCAGTATAATACTATATAAAAAAATACTCCCTCCGTTCCTAAATATAAGTTTTTTTAGACATTTCAAATGGGCTATAACATACAGATGTATGTAAACATATTTTAGAGTGTAGATTCACTCATTTTGCTCCGTATGTAGTCACTTGTTGGAATCTCTAGAAAGACTTATATTTGGGAACTGAGAGAGTAGATGGCATCAGTCACATGGAAGATACTACGAAATTTCAAAACTTTCTAATTGAGCATCCACCGTTATGTTCCTTGTGACAAGATCTTCGAAAATGGACCTCACATGGTAACTTAAGAATTGTTTTCATTAAAAACAAGGTTTTTAGTATATAGTTGGTTGCAGCTGTGTAAAATGGGCACTAAAATTCACCTTCAC